ATTTATATATAACAACAACGTTTTCTATAACTTCAACATTTATCATAATTTTTTCGCACATATCCATATATATATATATACATATATATATATATTAAAGCTATCCATCTATCAAGCTAATTATATATCAGAGCTAAACAAATATAATAATAACAAACACAAATAAAGACAATAACAACACAAATAAACCAAAACACAGACACATAATACAATAACAACAAACAAACAAAAACTTATACGGCCAAACAAAGACCAACACAAACATAATCGCTATTTGTAAATACACAAATTCAACAAATACAAATCACATACATCCTAAAAAAACAAATAACATAATCATATTTTTTCAATATATAATGCAAACCATCAATTTTTCTTATTTTCAAAAAACAATTCAATATAACATTTAATATAATAATAATAAATCAAACTTAAAATATCGCAATCAAGAATTGCATAAACCAACAAGACTAAACATATATTTTTCTTAAATATCTTTCCTTGTGAAGGGCAGATACATTAGAAGAATCGACAAGCTTATCTTTCCATACAGAGTTCTTTTTAAATTCTAAGGTAATGCCAATCAGTGTAGCAAGAATGAAAAGAAAGAGGCTAAAAACAATTGCAAATACTCTGGCAATAGACAAGACACTTTTGGCCTTTTCTTCAGTACTGTCTAATAGTGCATGCTTGCAACAAACAATTAATTTTCGGCACAGCATACAAGGTCAAACTGCCTGATACTGCCTGCTTGCAACAAACGAACAATTTTGGGCACAACACCCAAAGTCCCAGGCAATAAAGGGCATTGACAGCCTACCCCGGAACCTCAACCTGCCTAAATGCACAATTCTGGCATTTAGGATTGAAATTGTTGCACTTCATGGCTTTCAAAAACCAACCCTTGATGACGGGACAATCCAAAAAATGTCAGTGCACCAACTTACACAACGTGACACGTTTATCCGAATGCCCACAACCGCGACACCCTCGATGTGTGACTCGCGAACGACTATGACGGGGCCACGTAATTTTCTGCAAACTACAGAGGTTTCTGGTTGGGTCTGAGTGGCTCACTTGAAATATTTGGGGCATCCACCGGAGCGCTTTGCCCATCTTTGTTCCGTAGAGCTGAGCATGGGCGCGCCCTAAGCGACTAAGTCTTGGGCATGGTTGTGGGAAATACGTCTTTTCTGAGATCTTCAAAATTGTATTCCCTTGGTACAGAAAGTGGAATGTGGATGTTTCCAATTTCCCACAACCCTGGTCTTCAAAGCTAAAAGAACAGGCCTGCTGGCAAGACCGAAAGCACTGGATCTTAAGGACCCGGTCCCAATCTGGACCTGGATGGATGAACCCTCGGGCCAGTTGGCTATGAATACTCTACCCAAACATCCGTATCAACTCGCCAATGCCTTCCCAGAAGGGGCCGCTGGTACATAGAAACCTTTCATTTGTTCATCGTTTTGTGCCAGAATAGATGACCGATTCTTGCCGCTCATCCCGGACTCGGAACTCGTAGCTCCTTGAGACTTCCCTTTCCCCAAGGTCCCAGCTCTGGGTAAAATCTATGGCTTTCACGAATTGCACTAACCAGACAATAAAATGCACTGGTAAACTTCTCCTCTCTAACCATCTTAGACAAAAGACAGCTCCACCCCGGCCAACTCCTGGGGATGGGCAGATCGTTGGGTCGGTCGCACCCTTCAAGGGTCGAACGTGTCAAGGCGACGAGAGACTTTGGGCATGGAACAAAGACATTGGATAGGGCTGTGGATCTTTTTTTTCGGGGAGGCGAGCATGATTTAGGTAAAAACTCATGTCCACCAGCAACCACTTTTGAGGGTTTTCCCATGAGATTTCATGGCCATGTTGGTGAGCACAAGCCTTTGTGGCAAGGCAGGTTCTTGTACTTCTTATTTTTTCAACCTTGTAGATTTTCTTTAACCTTGGATGTCTGCTCGTTCGCCTGTGTCACTCTTTTTCCACCTCGCCATCCTTTTTTCTGCCCTCGTGGCCTGTTTCCATGCTTTCTTCACCGCAAGCCTCGTCTTGAATCAACCGGTTTAGGGTTGGTGGCTGGGGTTGTTTTAGGGTGTGCTTGGGATTGGCTTCGGGTTGGTTTAGGGTTGGTTTTGCGTGGTTTTAGGGTTGCGTTTGGGTTGGTTTCGGGTCGGTGTAGGGTTGGTTTAGCGTGGGTCGGTGGGGAGGCGTAGGGTGGTTTAGGCGTTTAGGGTTGGCTTTTAGGTGGGCTTCGGGTCGGTTTACGGCTGCTTTTTTTTGGGCTTCATGGTTGGTTTGTGGTTGGTTTGGTGTTGTTGGTTTAGGGTTGGCTTTTGCGGGGGTTCTTGATGCAGAAAGAATGTTCTCAAGCATGCTTGACAAGTTGCGCACAACACGATGTCAGGCAAGATGGGGGGTTAAAGAAGGGGAGCCCCCCGCCAAAGGGCATGGTGGCGTGCCAGGGAACGGCTTTGGAAAGACCACTGTTTAGTTGTAGGGTGCTAGTAGCAAGGTAATAGAAATCTCACAAGGGTTGACATCGCCCCAAGGTTTACAACAACGACTGCATGCCAAGGTTGAAACACAAGCCTGCCAAGGCTAACTAGAAGTGCCACCAAACTCCAAGGTTAAAAAAAAAACTGCTTACAAGGTCAAAAAAATGTCAAGGTTAAAACAAGTCGTCCAAGGCTAAAATGGAGAGCCAAATTTCTTGTCTCGCGATGGTTTACTATGTGCCGCCCCTCTCGTTTGTCTCATGGTGATTTGCCATCCTTATCCCCCCCTCGCTTTTCTCCCGGTGATTTGGCGAGAAACCCCGCCTCTTTGTGATTCATGATTGTTTGGCGAATATCCCTTCCTTGCCTTTCTGATGGTGATTCGGGAACTGTTTATCCTGGTGACTTGGCTTTCTTCAATGCCTGCCCGTTTGCTATGGTGCAACTCACCTCCTGCGGATGATTATGGAATATTGACCCACGCAAAGTACCCCGCAGCCACAGCGCGTAGCATCGCGTAGCATCGCGTAGCCGCGCAGCTACCATTCTGAAAATCTCGCCAGGTCAGTGGTCATTCAGCTGGCCTCCAGGCAAAGGCATCTGGATCCAACACGACTTACACTGATTTGAGAACGGGGCAGGGGGATGACACCACATCTCACCATCAAAAGTCTAGTCTGTAAATGTTCATAATCTGCCTATCACTTTTTCTTGGACACACACACACACATGCCCAAATCATTTTTTTTGGGGGCCAAGTGCTAGGGGGAAACAAAAACCGCGGGGAACTCCTGGATGATCTTTTTCAGTCTTCAAGGTTGGCGTCAGGTTGGGCCCCGCCTTGGGACACCTCGTCTCTTTGGCGGATGTTTGGAGGGGGCCCTGTACCAGAAAAAAGGAACAGCTTTGAGGGCGACTCTCTTGCCAGCTGGCCAAGGAACCTGAGGGCCCTTTGGACAAAGTTTGTGTCGTCGGGTCTCTGAACTGGGCTTTTATTTTTAGGGACCCCTCAAAACGGCAGCGCTTCTCCTCTTACTTCCTCTAAAGCCAAAGAACGGGGGCCTCCTAAAAATACACACGCACCCATGTATTTCACGAATCCTGCAGGAACGGCCTAGCTGGCTACTCCTCCACCGAGCCAGTCCGGATGAAGGTCTCCTCGCAAATCAGCAGGAGAAACCCAAACCCGCCCCCCTTCGCAGTTGCACAGGGGCATTGGTAGAAACAGGAACGCTTTTTCGGGTTGACAATTTTCAGCCAAAGAATGATAGCTGACGATTTTTTTTACTCGACTTTCCTTGTGTTCCCCCCTGTCCACCTCAGCAATTCAAGTTCGTCTGACAGCCATGGAACATGGCTAAAGCAACGCCGAGAATCAATGAGCCACACGGGGGCCTTTGGGAAACGCGACACCATCCTGACACATTTGGGGAACTGGTTCCAGACACTTCTTGGGGTTGATTCCTTTTTCATTCTTTTTAACCATCGTTCTTTTCAAAAACCGATCGCTTTTTTTTCTGGGCTTTCAAGAAGGTTTTCTGAAAGAAGGATCCCTGGGTTCAGAATGGAAATGGAGGTGTCCTACAATGAAAAAGTGATCGCCTAAAAATGCCCAGGAAGGTCACAGCCTTTGGGCAATCGCTCAGATTCGTTGCTTTGCTGGCGAGCAAAACGATGCGGCTCAGTTGTCACCAAAGTGTAAAGGAATACCAAGCTTGTGACCAAGCCCGCCGTTTCACACCTTTTTTTGGGGGGCCCGGGGAGGGGGGGGTGAGGCCCACTGCCGGGGTGCCTATCCCAGAAGGGAACTGGTACCCGTCGTTGATTTGGTCCCTGCATCTATTCCGGAGAGAGTCCAATATGCCAATATGGAGGATGGGAGGATGGATTGTCCCTGGTGGCTTGTGTTGACTGTGATTCCTGTAAAGCGGTCTGCAAGCCTTATTATCAATGTACCATGAGTCGGGTGACTGTACAAATGACTTGAAGGGCCTTGAGCCATCATGTCAGCGGAGTGTGTGAATAGGTCAATGTGCAACAAAAAGCAACACAAAACAGACACAAATTTCTTTTGACCTTTCACACCGAATTGTATGATTGGCTTCTTGGCCTTACGTGCCGTAGCCATACTTGAAAGTGCCGTAGCCATGTATTGTTACAATGATTCATCCAATTTTGGCGCGGGTGATTTGTCATGTGAGCAAAATGGGAAACAGTCTGTACTGATTCTGTGAGATACCTAGATGTATCGAAAAGGTGATGCACAACGCTATGTACATGCGGGACGGATGTGAAACTATTGATCTCTCACTGAATAGTCTTGTTGGCGGTGAGGATCAATTTGGTTGAAGTTCGTAGTGCCGATCGTGGGAGTCTTCTCAGTCGGTCGAATAAGTGCCAAAGGTGGCTGCTTCATCAGGTGGTCAACGGTACCACCGACGGCTGCTGTCGGATTGACTGCCATAGTCTCCATAATCATTCCAGGTCGAGTCGCCATCGTCTTTCCATTGCTTTGGATTGCCCCAGTACTGCTTGTTGTACTCCTTGTACTCTTGCTGCGTCCAGGATTGCTTCTTCTTGAGGTGCTCCTTGGATCTCTCAAAGTTGCGTTGCCTGGCGGCAGATCTGCTGCGGATGTAGACCATCAGCGGCCCATCTGGGAATGTTCGATCATACCCTGATCCTGTCTATAGGTGATGACGGACGATGGATTTTAGAGTGCATGAAGTCTCCATTGCATACTCCATTCTGTCCATGAGTGGCAGATTCTCCGTTTCATTCCACAATCTCTGATATGCTTTCATGAGGATATTCATGAGACCGTTGGCCGGATTGATCACGTGCTGGAGTCTGCTGTAGGTATTCGCGGATTTGTTGGCGTCTCCGGTGATCGCATCGCATTGGTACAATGTCACGAGCGGCATGATTTCGTTCTGAAGATCTTCCCGTGCTGCTCCATGGCTGATTGATGGATGAATGTGAAAAACTCCAATGGTAGCAAACGGGAGGTCTGCCCTCGTTACGTGGCGGCTGTCAAACTCGAGGAGTGAGTTGTTGGATGATTTTGGAAGCATACCACGATACTCATCACTCTGCTCGATGTGGAGAACGACAATCTCTTTGTTACGCCCGTGTCCTTGGACAGTGGTGCGTGGTGGCAATCTCGGTCCAATGTACTTCTTGGATTCAGTGAACATGGATGTTCGCGTAGTTGCCAGGCAATCCAAGGTCGGAATGTCGTATTCAGGATCAGTGCAATTTTCCACGATTCCGAAGAAACATCTGAACATCCCGAATGTGGTTTCCCAATTCTGACTCTTTGTGGAAATGTGCCGTGTTGCGGATGGTCCGCCGCGGACAAAGCGTGCGATTGGTCTGGATGACCATTGCTTGATAACGATGCCCTTGTACCCAAACCGGATGAACGTCTTGATGAGTTGCCTGGATTTCTCATCTTGAGGACTGAGGAATGCGTCTGCTTCATTTAGGCATAAGATGTGTGCGCTGTTCTGCATCATCATCTTCACGATTGGTCGATCCTTCATTGCCACGTTGTACACCTCCTTGCTGTCCAGCTTTGGATTCCTCGTGAGGTTTCCATGGTTCATAGTCAGCATGTTGATCGTCAGGGATGAGGTGAACTCATGCGTCTTGAGATGGTCTACAGGGGAACGGTCAGTTGGCTGCATCAGCGATCCCAGGATATCGGCAAATGCTCGGATGACTTCTGGTTTGTCATATGACGTAAGCTTCTTCAATCCAAGTGGAAGCTTAATCGGGTATCCTTATACTGGCTGTGCCTTCCTGTGCTCGTCCATGGTTGGACATTCTCCTCGATGGTGGAAATAGAACTCTTCTTCTTCGAGGTTGACATCTGGATCGACGTGTGCCAATGAGGCTCTCTCGCACTCTGTCAGTTTAGGACGAGCTCCCTTGGGATCCTTGTTGTACTTCTCCATGAAGCGGATGAAGTTCCTTTTGGTCTCCACGAGCTCTTCCTCGGCGTCCTTCTTGCTCATTTCTATTTTAAGGTAGATTTCCTTGAGTTCCTGGATGAGCTCGTCTAGGTTCTCGGGATTGTGATGCTCCATGGTGACCTTTGGCTTGACGGATCTCTCCCCGGAGGGTTCCATGTTCTCCTCTTCAACTTTTTCCTGATCGGTGGAGTGCCGTCGCTTCTTGGCGTCTGTGGATGTATCTTTTTCGGATTTTTCCTTGTTTTGGTGGTCGTTATTCACATGTTTGAAGAAGGCATCGGCGAATTCTTGGATCTTGCTGGTGTACATCTCAATGTCTTCACGACCGAGATTCTTCTTCATGATCCGGTTGTTACTCATTATGATGTTCCCCTCGGGATCAAATGCTGTAACAATGTTCCTCGCCTCGATGGTTTGCTCTGTCAATGCTGTTCGCTCTTCGGAGAGTCGGATGTCGTAGTCCTGGTCCTTGAGGAATGCCAGGATCAACAATGCATCTCAATCGTTGGCACATGTGTCAGTGCTGCTTCTGACGCTTCGTCATCAAGGATAACGTCGTCGATGCATGCCATGTGGATGGGATCTCCCAGATTTCAGCCCGTGCTCCATGATGTTGATCAAATGCTCTCCATATGTTGCATGGAACATGAACGTGATGGGCTTCTTCGCGAACGGCTTGATCTTTCTCTCTTCTTCAATGGATTGTGGTGCCGGCCTTCGCATTCTGGATTTTGCCTGAGCTGTGCCTTCGTCTTCATGGGGCGCATCGGATCTTGACGGATGCGGACTTGGCGGAATGGATTCCGTTGGAAGATCATAGTCCGGTTCTTCTTGGCGAGGCTCACTCTTCTGTTCGGAGTACAGGGGTCGTCCAAAAGATTGGAGATCGACTTGTCGTGTATGACCGCTGTTGCATCTCACGTAGAACCCCATATCGGGATCATTGAGGAATTCCTTGCCATTAGGCCGGAGTGCTTCGTATGCGGATCTAGAGGTGAGGTGGTCTATCCATCGATTTCTTGGCACAATGTTTCCCCTTGCCTTGCGCTCATTGCATGAACCGTCCACGGATGGATACACGAACGCAATTTCGAAACGTGCCTTTCCATAGTTCGGGAACATAGCCATCAGGAGAAGCCCTGGCTTATTGCCCATGAAGTTCCTTGCATGCGTAATGCAGGTCAATGCATCGTAGAGCTCAACGGATCCATCAGGACCCATGTCCACTTGTCGTGTGTTGGCCTTGCTTTGGATCATGTCGGAAACATCCGGAAAACAATCTGCTCACTCGCTCGATTCGCCAGAGGATGAGGTCGGTGATCTGTTTTGCCTTGGATGTAGCCATGTTGAAATATTTGCAAATTCAGGGCGGTCTTCTCGAGATCAATATGGCGGTTGTGACATACCATCGGAATGATGTCGGTTCCGAAAACTTCTGGCTGAGCATTGGTATAACAGCAAATGCTGTAGACCTTCTTGATGAAGTCCATGTATTGTTTCTCTGTATGTTGGCCTTCACCTTGAAGCGTTGGCTGCCAGTAATCATTGAATCTGGCTCTCAGCCAGAATACCTTGACTCCATGTTGTCGTTCATGCTCAGGAATGAAGTGGAAGTCCGGATTCATCTTGAGGATTGTTGAGCACTCCTTGTAGCATTCGTACACGAAATTGAGGAATCGAGAATTCCCGAAAGGTCCTGGATGTACGGATTCTCTCTGGAGGCAGATGTCGGTATCTGATCCGTCTGGTACATGCCACCGATCGTTGGATGTGAGAGTTGGCCGCATCGCTGGTCGCCTTGGAAGTGCCGGTCGGTCACCAGGATTATTGTCGGATTCTGTCTCCTCATCCAATATGCTCTTTGGTGCTGGCTTAATCTTTGACATAAGCCTCAGTGTCGGTGGTGGTGACTTCGGAACCAGTTTCGGATGTGGCATCGCCTTCGGCATTGGATTTCCTGCGAGAGGTTGCTCTTCGTCATCCAGGTGATCATCGTTGTCGGTATCTCGATCATAATCTACCTGCTCCATGTTGACATTATCTGGTTGTTGAGAGGCGGATGGATTCTCATCGGCGACCTGCTCCATGGGGCAGTCGGATGTCTCATCTTCCTCATCACGAGCAGGGGATTCCTTCAACAGAGATGCCCGTCACACCAGCGGCTTCGGCGAAGGAGCC